TAATAAATATTTGGATATCCAAAGGTTTTAAATGGTTTGGTTTTTAATCACAGTTAGAACTTCGGGAGATCTATAGTGATGAGCTGTAGGCAATAATTTGAGTGACTAAAGGATAATTGATGCCATAAAGGAAGCGAAATATCATCCTCTAAGTTGCATTTAGAGAAGGTTAAACTTTGTAGACGGGTGAATCAATATGTGAAAGTCATAAAATATGTAAATACCAAATATGTTTACAATAAAATGGACAAGCCATATTGGTCTGACTGCAGGTTAAAAAAAAAAAAAAAAAAAAAAAAAAATTTAACTTAGTATATACTATGCTGCACAAATAAATATGTACTTTGATATTTTTTTAATTAATAAACAAACAGTCTAACCTGGCTACAAGTAATGCCAAAAAAAAAAAATAGTTAAAAATTTTTTGATTTTCAATCTTACTAGATTCTAAAAGATACTGTATATTCTTAGATTTTTATATTATAAATAAATTGTTGTGTTTAAATTTGAAATAAAAATTATAATAATTGATTGCAATAACAAAAGATATAATCAAGATAACTAGGCTGTACAGATGTCACTAATTGACGGATAAAGCAGTTTTTATTGACGAATAATTTAAAACCCAAGAGTTCCGCAACTCGTTAAGTTACAACATAATTCATATTTCTACAAATAACTTACTTTCGAATTCATTTGTCGCAATCTAATGTACACACATTATAATAAGATTTCACAAGGCAAAATCAAAATTACTACTTTTAATTGTGGCTTAAACAAAATTCCTTCAACAAAATATCTCGCTCATAGATCCTGCTCCCGATTTTCCCTCGAGGCCAAAAACCTTCTCCTAAAGATGGCGACGAAATCGTTTGTGACTCTTCGTAGCCTTTGCCAATCCTGACTTTGGATCGCTCTAAATTTACAGATCAAATAGCATATAAATAACGATATTCTTTCCAAGTAATAAAGCCATTTACAGTAAATATATAAAATGCCAACATACAGATTGTAATTTCTTATAAATGATCCTTTAATGTCCGATGTCAAATTGGCATCTTGCAGCTGTTGGAACACATTGGATATCCATTGTTGACTATCTTGAGGAAATAATTTTGCCAATGATGCCAATATATCATCGATATAGTTTTGTGGAAGATCCCTCGAGAAAGTATACATCAAGCCTCTGAATATACTACTAATTAATGTAGAACCGTGTTGACACAGTATGGTTTCGAGAGTCAAAAGATCTGAGTTATAACCAAACGAATGTGTTGCGAGCGATGTTTGTATATGCGAAGTATCAACAGAAGTAGGTTGTACTTGTGATTGCCTTTCTTTTACAACAAAAAGGAGTAATTTATTGAAGAATAAGAGGACAGCGTGCAGGGCGTCTTGTTGTTCGATCGCCAGACATGTTAAACCAGCCTGATAGATTGAAGGGAAGAATGCTGAATGTGACAAGGTTAAAGGAGCACATTCAAGAAATCCAATGTTGATACGAAAATAATCTTCGACAACTGTTAATAAAAGAAAGCGCAAAAAATAAAATAAAATGAGATAAAATAAAAAAAAAATGAATAATTGACATAATAAAATGAATTGGAAATTAAAATGTATACCATCAGGAATATCGTCTGGTTTTTTATCGCCAAGAATTCTAAACATTGTAACACTGAGTCTCTCGACAAACGTTAGCAATGCTAGTGTAGCTTCTGTACCTTCACCAACAGAATTCATTCTTACACATTTTCCCGCAACCCACAAATAACAACTCAATCCTGTTTGATCAAATGCAGCAATAAGGCGCTCCATAAGGTCCGGAAGCAGCAAATGAAAAGCATTTGGATAGTAAACGACACAACACTTGAAACATTTGCAGAGGCTTTCTGATAGGTGTGGGTCGGCTCCAAAATTAAGGAGGAGGAGATTGAAAACAGGCCACAGTTCTTGTATAATAGAAACACAGGGATGAACGGTATTGGGTGTGGTATCTATTGTTTCTCCTCTCTGACGTTCTGCCATAACACGAAGAACCATGGAGAATTGTTCCAATTTATCTTCAAACCGAAAACAGCAAAAAAATCAACTATTTTATCTTAATTTGCAACAAGGAAAAAGAAAAAGAAATCAGGTCAAATCATGAAATCTATACCACAAGCATCTTTGGCATCTTTTTCGATCGCCGATCCACCTTTATTGACAAACTCGTGCAATCCCTGTGCAATGGGAAGGCAGAACATCTGTAAAGCTTTCAACAATTCTGTAGGTGATACAGCGGCAACAACGTGAGTAACTGCTTCAGTGACCTCGAGTAAATCTACCCCATGGAGAGTTTTCGAGACATTAATATAGAAGGGATGTAATTGTGGAAGATATTCGACCAATAACTAAGCACAATCCCGAATGTTATGTCAAAATTATATAGCGTGCACAAAGTCAGTAAACTTCAATTCAATTTATATATTACCTCATTACAGTCCTTGCATAAATATTTCAATGCCAAAGCAGCTGCAGCAGAAACCTCTTCATTATCGAAACCGGAGGAAATAAAGTTCAACTGGTACGGGATAAATTCTGAGTGTTTTCTAGTCCAAAAAGAATATCGCGAAATAACTAAAGTGGCAGCATAGCGAATTTTAGGATGGTCAGGCAGTTGTTGTAGAAGTTGCATGATCTCAGGCAAAACGATGCGTTCATCATCCGGTATTTCGGATCCCATCGCTCGCAAAGAGAACAAAGGTGCTTCGATTGCTTGCCACTCCAGTACACTTTTATCTGCCGTATTCAATAAACCTGCTAGGACCGAGTAAGGTTTTGATAAACATTGTTGCGAGCCAGCAATAAGACAACAATCCTTAAGAACGTCGCCCATTACATGTCGAAATTCGCGGAATTCGTCTCGCTTTTCCGCTGACCAATTTGAAAGGTCTTTGGGGTAATGTAAATGTTTGATCATAACATCAACCAGGTTAGAAAATATATGTTCAAATTTTCCCTTAATGATCTCATGACGTGGTTCGAACAACGTGTCCGCTAGACGATGCCAAAAACCAAAAGTAATTCTAACAATTTCCGTATCATGGTAAGCTGTACATTCGGCTATGCTTTCCACTATACTTTGAAAAGCTTCGGAGTGTTGAACAATAAGTTCTAGATATGATTCTCCAGCTTGCGTAAAGATACGACAATATCCCCGCACTCGATCTTCGTCATCGCTCTCTATCGCATTCCTTAGCGACTCTCTCAAAGGAAACAAACGTGGATATATCTGTTCAATTACCGGCATGGAATCCGGGATTTCTCGCGTTTCATTAATAATTCGACAGACGACATCGACTGCAATATCGTATAATTCATTTGATTGTAAAGCATCGAACGAGAGTCCCAAAAATGGATTATTTTCCAAACTACCAATTACGATATCACCAGAATAAAGCCAACTTTCGAAACATTCAAAAACCCTTATTTGATAGTCAGTATTATTGCCTAAAAGTAAATAAATGGTTGAAATCTAAAAATGCGACAACACGCATGATGAATATAGATTGGTTTATTAGAAACATGATTACCTGAACTCTGCAAAAAAATCAAAAGCATCTGCAACACCTTGTCGGCATTGTCTGTTAATAATTCCTTGGATCTTAATTGATAATCCTCATCCTGTATAATGTGTAATTGTTATTGCTTATGTATGAACCGAGTTTCGAAATGTGTCAACACTAACCGATATGGGTATACGATTGTTTTTGCTAATCTCTTCCGGCAAAACCTTAAGAAACTCTAGCAAACACTTAATAGTATCTGGATTTTTACCATACAGCTCCGTAAATTGTGGGAGTACGTTCTTCCATTCGGGCATCTGGAGCGCCAGTGCTGCAAGAGATAAACATATTTGGGTAATAATGTTACGAGGGCCATCGCGGTATTCATAAAGAATCTCTAAAAGTGAATCGCGAAGGGAAATGCGAGCTGCAGCATCGAGCTGATGTAAATCTAACGTTATCTAATGTCAATAACGCAGTATCAGTCGAAATTCAATAATTATAGTATTGATGAGGGACTATTTTCGGAAAGGTGGAATTTTTACCGGTCGGGACCGATAGTTTCGCGTCAACTCTAGAGTTTTAGAGGTTATTACAAGAAGGATGGAATCCATACCTTTTGCCGGAATGTACGCGCCGCAAAGTGTTGTGCAGTTTCGGGAGTCGTTTGAGGGGATCTCAACATTTGATTTGATACTGCCCATGCTTCCGGCTGTAGTAGACGACATTATAAAAGAAAACGGTTTGTGGAAGGTCTTTATAATGCTTGTGACGAATTCGAAAATTGTTGTTGTTATTAGTTTCGATCAGCGATCTCCAATAAATTACCGTCTTCTGAAAAGCTTGTAACCAATTATCAGCCTGTTCTCTTCTTGCTTTATCATGAGAGGTATATAAAGCATCCACTTCCGTCAAAAAGGCTTCCGTTGTATCAGTCGTCATTATTCCAAGGTTCTACGAGGTAAGCGATAATCCTAATTTAAGATATATATACGCGAAAAAAAAAAAACTTATATATCTTGCAGAATTAATGAAAATAAAAAGGAAATTTTTGTAATTTCTTTTCCAGAGAATCATTTATATCAAAAGCTTGGTAGACTACGTCATAATACAATATTTCCAAATTTTCCCAAGGGATTGCCGATTATACACTATCTACTTTCTCGTGAAACCGTGGTAACTGTGACTTATTGCTGCGGAAAATTAACTATATAAGCACGCGATGACACATTTATGTAGGGTATTAGATAATATAATTAGACAGTAAACTTTCTTTCTTACCACGAAATAGTTTAAAACTTTTCTTTCAATGGCCCTTAAACGCATTCAAAAGGCATGCTTTGTTGTGAACGCTCTATCTGTATCGATTTAAACCTTACAAGTACTTTGTATTCTTTAGGAACTTGGCGAATTAAACAGAAGTCCACCAACGGGGATTAGCGCTGGTCCAACTGATGAAAATTTATTCGAGTGGACAGGTACAATATCAAGGCTAATTGTAAATTTAAGCTCGTTTATTTTTTAACGTCAAATGCCTTTTAAAAATCAGGAACAATCTTGGGGCCCGTAAGTTCTTCGATGTATCTGCAACATTTATCAGTTGAAATTTCATATGACCTTTTCCTTTCTGCCATCTGTAGTCAAAGAGTGCTTATAAAGGTGGCATCTTTCGACTTAAAATTGAATTTTCTCAAGATTACCCATTCAAGCCTCCAGCGGTATCTTTATTCAAGTTCTTTTTTTCAGTCATCAAGATTCTATTGATTCTTACATTTCTTCGATCCTCTAGGTCAAATTTATTACCAGGATATATCATCCTAACATTGATGATGACGGATCCATTTGTGTTAATTTATTGAAAACTGATGTGTGGAAGCCTGCCACTAAGATTTCTCAGGGTAAATGTTTAACACTTAACAAGATGTTTAATTCATATTATCTGACCGAAACATTTCTATTCTAGTTCTGGAAGCAATCTCGAATCTTCTTGAGAATCCAAACCCTGATGACGCGCTTGTAGCTTCCGTGGCTGAGGTTTATAATACTGACCGACAAAAATTTATCAAGACAGCCAAGGATTTCGTGAAAAAGGTCGGTGGTTTATTATATGAAGTATATGTTTATTTGTTTACGTTGATTAACGGCTTTTTTTATTTTTACTTTTTTTTTTTTTTTTACAAGTATGCATCTACATAGCTATCGGTTCCCATTTATCATGAATTTCATTTTCTTCTTGATTG